TATTTAAAAAATTTTTGAAGGAGAATATTGCAAAATTTAATTATTGCTGTTCAAATTTGAAAATATATAAATAAAATTTTCGGCTCTGGTCTAGTTTATGAGTCCAATGACATTTTACGAGTCCAATGAATGTTTATGAGTCCAATGAAGTTTTATGAGTCCCATGAAAGTATATGAGTCCAATCAAAAGTTTATGAGTCCGATGACAGTTTATGAGTCCATCAAAAATTTATGAGTCCAATGAAAAATACAAATTTCTACAATTTCTACTTTTTATTAGCGTTTCAACGGAACCGAAATTGGTTCCTGCCCGGAACTGGGACTTTAAAAAAATGCTAGCAAATTTTAAAAAATTTTTATCTTAAGTAGGGTTGTCGGTTTCAACAAATTCTTCGGTTAACCGAACCGACTAATCTAACCGAATCATTCGGTCTTCCTTCCTTTTTAGCGCCCAGGCAAAAATTTTGTGAATTTAGGAAGGACAAGTGAGAAATTCTAGTTTTGGAAGGCCATATCCCCAGATATCCACTCCCTAATATCTACCTTACACCACAAAATCCCTCGATATCTCACCCAAATCCCTCCATATTACCTATGACCTCTTGAAACCACACGGTATAACTATAATTATTAACTACTTAAGGCATTTACAAAGGTTTAGTGATTACTAAATGTCGTTCAGTGATTACTAAATCACCTACGACCATTACAAAATGAACTCCATTACGAAATGGTCTCAGGAGGTAAGGAAAAATATGATCCGAACACTCCTTTCATATAGTCAAAATTTTGATTGGACTCATAAACTTTCATGGGACTCATAAAACTTCATTGGACTCATAAACATTCATTGGACTCGTAAACTTTCATTGGACTCATAAAATGTCATTGGACTCATAAACTAGACCAGAGCCAAATTTTCTTATTAATCTTTATAAGATTAAACGATTTTTTAAATTTTGTCAGATTTTATTTTTGTTGATAACCTGTATTTTTAGTATTTTGATCATTTTATTGTGGACATAACGAAAAAATGTTTAAGACATGTTACTATAATTAAAAAAATTTTCTCTATTGATCATCCACTGTTTTATCTAATTGATCATATCCATTGGCTAGTCTAGGAGGAGGGCAATGGTCACAGCCTCCATACAAACCCTAAAGAGAAAATATTAAGAACTTATCTAAATTTTAATTCCAATGAAATTATAAGCTAGTAAATTCAGAAAAGTATTCTACGGTGGGTTCAAATATAAATAAAATATTACCGGCGCTCCATCCCTGCCAGGCGATCCTTTCGGCCCATTTCGGCCGGGAAGTCCATTCAATCCATTTGTACCCTTTTCACCAACTGGTCCAGGCGGTCCTTGCCTTCCTGGTTGTCCTTGGGGGCCTGGAGGTCCCGGTTGACCATAGGGCCCTGTCCGTCCTTGAGTTCCTCGTGGTGCTGGCTGTTCTACTAACTTAAATAAAATTTCAAGAATCAATTTGAATGGGGTTGAAACATTTCCTGGCATTCCACCAGGTCCTCGTTCTCCAGTAAGACCTGGCAGCCCAGGTAATCCAGGCATGCCAATAATCCCTGATTGACCTTTATTTCCGGCTTAAATCAACGTTTATATAATCTAAATGTATCTTTCCTACGTGTTCCAGGAGTTCCACTCCTTCCAACTTCACCATTTGGCCCTTTGGGTCCAGGAGGTCCTTTTGGACCGGTTGGGGCTTGTTGACAGTCAAAACACCTTTAAAATAAATTTGTGTATATTTTTCTAGCTACATATAATTTGACCATTCTTGCTCGTTTAAAGGTAATCCTGGAATACCATCTTTGCCTGGAATGCCTGCAGCGCCCTCACGGCCATCTGGGCCTGAACCACCGGGCTACAAATAATTTAATGAAATAATTAGTTTAATATTTTGATTAACCACGTTTTAACTCAGATTTATTCGTGTGTCAATGCAGTACTACTATACATATTATGAATGGAAGTGCCATGTTATCAAGGAGCGCGTTAGTGGGGCATGTCTTGTTTAAAACGAGTTACTAAATAAAGACTTAATGATGTCTTTCTAACAATAACTTTATCGGTTTAATTTTTATTGCAAATGTTTGTCGGCAACTAAAATTAACACAAATCTCCAGAAAAATTTCTCAACTGTTCCAGGCTGTCCAGGCACACCAGGTTCTCCTATTCCACATTGACAACATGACGGAACTATTTCCTCTAATGGGGCAGCTGCTGGGGGTGATGCATACAATTTTAATGCAAAATTTCCTTTTGTCTTTATTTTATTGTTGTTAATTGTTTGCCGAGGAATTCGTCTTTTTTGTGTTAATGGCCCAATAACTAGCTGTTTAATAAGAGAATTTTAAGCTTCCTCGGCAAAATATGTAGGTCATGTTTATTTTATTAGTGTTATAGCTCCGAAACAAATTTCTCCAACCCCGTACTTTTAGACTCTGATTGGGTGGGCCCAAGTATTTTAGACTAAAATATTTTTAAAGAATTTTTAATATTAACTAATTCTGTTTGTATTAATTCGGCCCTAAGCCGTCTGCTTTCTGTTCTGCATATTTTCAAATTAGGTTCTAAAGCTAAATGTATTTGTTGAGTGTAGATATAAATTAAGGGGACTATGAGAATGCTGGCAATTGCTGCTGCTGTTCTGAGAAAATTTTTAAACAATTTTTAATCTCTAAAAACTTTTTTTTGAAAATTTCAAAAAATTTTTTCAAAAATTTTTAAATCCTACCCAAAGGCCACACTAATAAATGTAATCATCCTTAATTTATCTGCATAGCTTCTTCTGTTCTCATAGATTTTTTGATTTTGTTCTGTTTTTAATAGTTTATCTTCTCTATTTTTCATTTTATAAAGAAAAATTTTAATTTTATTTTAATTAAAAATTATTTAATTGGAGGAAAGCTAGTTTTATTTTCTTCTATTTAGGAAATAAAAATAAATAAACAAGCTATTGTTTTTTAATATAAATAGCGTTAACCAACAATAAGGACTTTTTTAATTAAAAGATAAAACAGGACAATAACATTGATTAAATAAAAAAATCACCTAAATCTACGCAGGTTAATGATATATTTTTAATTGGTAGTAAAAAAAGGAAAATGATTTTATTTGTTGAAATAATTATTAAAGATGATAATTAAAGATAAACGTTTTTAAGTTTATTTAATTAGAAAGCCTCTTTGGCAAGTCATTAATATTGTAAAGCATAATGGATAACACATCAGTCCGGTCTACTGAAGATGATGGTTCGCTTCCAGCCGCCGAACAATCTTTTTTGCACTAGCTGAAGGAGAGAAATGGCTATATTCCAGCTGCTTTACTAAATAAATAATAGAGGTCCAAGTACACTGCCTCGGGGGTGTTAATAAATAATAATCCCCTTTTTGTTATCAAGAAGAATAATTATTGACACTAATAGTACAATAGTTTATAAAAAATTAATTCCCTATGGAACAATTAAAAATATTTATCAAAATTATAAATGTTATTGGAGGAATGAATAAAGCAACATATTCCAATAAATTTGCCTTATTCATTTAAATAATAATAAAAACCATCTAATTCATGTATAAAAATATACATAACAGGGATCGCGCCGACAGAAAATCAAATTCCCGATTTCGTGAATCGTGAATTCACGAGAATTTCGAATTCCCGATTTTCGTGAATCGTGAATTCACGAGAATTTCGAATTCCCGATTTTCGTGAATCGTGAATTCACGAGAATTTCGAATTCCCGATTTTCGTGAATCGTGAATTCACGAGCCAAAAATCGTCGGGAATTCACGATTTTCGGGAATTTCGGGAATTCTGCTTATTTAGGGGGTTTAGACAAGAGGGATGCGGGCCAGGGGATGTGGATCAGTTGAAGCCTAATAAAGGATGGATTTGGGGATTAATAATGATATCGATGAAAGATCTGAGGGAGTATTAAGTCATTTAGGTGAGGATTAGCCGGAAAATGTGATCTGTCTCAACAGGACCGAAACCATTCGAATTCGTCGCTCCGTGATTGTCGAAATTCTAAAATTTTCGATCCGGATTTGGATGGATATCGGTGGTTCTCTCTTTATCTTTCACAAATCTTCCAATCAATTTCGGTCATTATCATCCAATCCCTCCTTATCCGCCCAAATCTCTTTTCCCTCTTATTATCCTCCTTATCCATGATGTGGACCTCGCAGTCTGAAAAGATGCCTAAATTAGGAAATATGTAAAAAGATAAAAGGGATATCGAATGATACCGTGGGATTAAGGAGGATTTGAAGGTGTCTCATCTCTAAATCTTTCGATCTCTTCTTAATTATTCCATTTTCAGCGCCGTAGGCGAAAATTTTTTGAAATTTGGAGCTCAAGCAGCCAAATTTCTTCCATTTTCTGCGCCGCAGGCAAAAATTTTGAGAATTTAGGAAGGTCAGCAAGCCAGATTTCTTCTTTTTTCAGCGCAGCAGGCGAAAATTTTGAGAATTTTTGAAGACCAAGTCACCAGATTTCTTCCTTTTTAAGCTCCCATAATTAATAAAAATTCCCGATTTTTTCCCGATTTTCAGAAAAAATGTCGTGAATCGGGAACGTGAATTCACGTGAATTTCGAATTCACGACGTGAATCGGAAATTCACGAGCCAAAAATCGTCGGGAATTCACGATTTTCGGGAATCGTGAATCGGGTCGGCGCGATCCCTGATACATAATGTTGAATTTTAAAATACTTATACTAATAAAAATGCTCTTATAATTTAATATTTAAACAAAAGGTGAAAAATAATATTTTTTAATTTAAAATTAATAAAAGTTAAAACAACTTATTAATTAAATACATATGTAATGTATTTTTATAATGCTAAGAAAATTTTTAGCTTTACATACCTATTACACTTTTATATAACAAATATTACTTATTTTAAAAATTAACATATTTTAATAAGCTAAAAAAGCTTTAGATACAGAAACCTATAAATTTTATACAAATTTTAATGGACTTGTATTTCTTTCATCATGATGAATACGAGCGTCTTTACAATTGTAGTTTATACAGTGTTGACCAAATCCCTTTAGAAAAACGTCAACATAAAATACTTGGAATTTTCTTGTTTAGTTTGTCTACACTATGTGAGGTGAGTAAATAATATTTGGCATGTTCATAAGCGAGCCTTGTTTTTGATCTTTAAATCAAAAAAAATTTTTTATTCAAAAATAATCGTTGAACAGTGAATGTTATTATCACAGGATTAATAATGGACCCAGAAATTTAAAATATTAATAATTATTATTAATTAAAATTAACTAGATACTCTATATTCCTTGTATGTTTTCAATTTGGAATCGAATGGCAAATAGTCATTGTTATAAAATTATGTTTTATATTGGGGTTATTGATATGGCTACAATTTTATGTGTTGGACATATTACTGCCTATTTTGGCTATTTTGGTTTTGTTTATTGTTCGTCCCCTACTTTCAATTATTTTGCTGGAGCTTATGGACAATGTTTCTAATAACTAAATTTGTTTTTAAATTTAAGGGAAAATAATAATAAATATTTTGTCGTTGATGGTAATAATGAAGTATTTTGTTAATTCAATGTTATCTTCCATAATCACATAAATAAGGTTTCCGGACTAAAAGAGATAAATCCGGAATAAGTGATCTTATAAAATACTTGTTTAGAAAAAAGTTTCTGGGTCCGACACGAAGTCGAGTCGAAATTCTTTAGCGTTCGTTAAATTAAAAAAAATTTTTTTAATTTCCAGGCTGCTGGATAATTGAATCCATAATGGAATTAGCTTTAGCATTAAACCGTCTCGTTGAACTTTTGTCTTCAGAGCTGGCAACAAAATTATTTAACGGTAGGAATTTAACAGAAAAATTTCCGGATCGGGAACTGAAACTTTTAAAGTAGTCGACATTGCCCTGTGCCCATGATTCTTTTTATAAAATCAATTTATTATAGGCAAAATGATTATAATTTGGTTAATCATTTCTATCATTTATGGGTTAACACAAATTTTTTGGACAAAGACAGCTGTATTTAGCGGCATCTATTTCGGTTATTTCTTCAATCCACACGTTGGATATATTGATGGTAATAACGAGGTATTTTGTTAATTTATTTCTCGTAATGGTTTTTTCTCTCTATTAATTTTTAAAATATAAATTTAGGCATACGATAATATTTTTCATTCAATCCACAATATAAGCATTATAATCTTGTTGATACTCACCTATCTTTCTTTTTCTATAATTTTTATTTTACAATCAAAAGAAGGAGGACTCCAATCTGATCAGCAAAGTTTTTCAGAAAAAAGAGTTTCTATTAACCAAAAAGCCGGTAAAACCTAAAATTCCAGATTTTTCTCCAAGTCGTTATAATCAGCTTGTTTAATGCTGTAGCTGCTTCAATTTATGTTTTTATGCAGTATATTCATGTTAATGAAATGTTGATTATAATTGCCCATATATTTTGGGTGAATGCACACGGTGAAATTATTATAAATCACATTGTCTAACTAGAATATCAAAATTAACATTCTAAGCCTTTATTGTTGTCCTACTCCTAATATTTCATTAAGAATCAAAAATTTCTTAAAATTAGTCTTAGAAATTCAAAATTATTTTAAACTTTAACAAAATTTAATTTAAGGGATTCCTCCCGTCATTTACTTGACATTAAACAATACAATCCAACGTGACTGTTTCAGAATGTTAAAAAAGATTATTCAAAAAACAATTGGCCTTCCATTACAATCCAACGCCATTCACCCAACATAAAATGTAAATCGGAAGACGCTAAGTTCATCCGTCAGAAAATACATAAATATGAAGTTTTTGATCTCGTCCATTATTAATTATCTCAATAGACGATATAATAAGATTTAGCTTCAAAAAGAGATTCAATATTATAAGTAAATGTAAATTTACATCTATTCTATCATCATATAAAATAAAGTGTTTAAAAACAGGTCTTATTTTAAAAAAACGCCACAAATATTCTATGTATACTAAATTACTTAATGTTAAAACCAATGGGTGCACATTTCTCAATCCTCGAAGTAAAAATCCCGTAACACTGTACACACACTCTCAACAGTTTGCGGAAATTAATTTTAACACAAATTAGAACTTCAAGAGGAAATATTTACTTGTGAAAAGGAAAAATGGACAATAAAATGTAAAGGCACTAAAGGGGTACATAGAAACAAGATCAAATAGATCCCATCAAAGTTTAAATTAGTCTTAACAAATTAAATTCTTTTTAAATTCAATTAATGATTATTAGAAAATTTATATTTTTACTTCCATTTTCTTCCTTATAGCCTTAAAATTGCCATTTCAGCCTTAAAATTGCCATTTTTTCTTAAAATCAACAATTTTCACTCTTTCTTTAGTTACTCCTTCCTTATCCAAATAAAATTCGTAACTTCCAAGAGTCAGCAATGGAGTTATCGAGGCAACTAATGCCAGTTCAGGATTATTTTCTAATGATTCGTCATTATTTAACATCATCTGGCCATCCTCATAATCATCTAATTCTGTTTTCAATGTCCACATTGAAATGAATTGTCTAAAACTTTTCAATAAATCCTTCTCTAAATTATTCATTTTTTTAAACATTTTGGACACACATCTTTCCTCATTTGTTTTTTTAATTTTAACGTCGAATTGAAGCCAACACTCACAATTTTGTTTCGCTACAATTACAAAATAATTCCCTGGATTTTCAAATTTTAAACAAATTTCAATGTGAGAATATTCCATTTTAGCTTCTTGTTTATTAGCCTTTAATGAAGTTGAGTCGGTAAAATTAACTTTTCCATGTCTTTCTCTTTTTAAAATTTTTCTAGGTCCATCAGGGTTCAAAAAACATATAAATCTTGTTAATTTATTAGGGTTTTCTGGATTTGTCAATAAAGATGTATATATCCCTTGTATTTCTATATCCATAATTTGATTATTATCATCGTATCTTAAATTATCAACTTTCAGTTCATTTACTTCAAACCCAATTTGTGCAGAAATCAAAGGCTCTACAGTTATTAGAGTCTAAAATGCAAATAAAATGTAAATAATTTTTAAGTATACTTTTACCCTCTCCACAATTTCTGTTCCATTATTTTCATTTAGAACGATCCTTATGTTAAATACTTCTAAAAAATTAAATAATAATTCCAATAACATTAATTTTTTTCCTTTATGTCCACCAACTACACTTTTATTAAGTGAAAATTCTCCTATAAGTAAATTCTGAATGGGTGCATTCATAGTTAAGAGAATTTTATCTTTTTCGATATTTTCATCAATTTCACACAAAATTTCAATTTTACTTTTTATTTTCCCATCTTCAACTATTTTAGTGAATTCCATTCTCAATAAAATTACTTTAGAAGATTCATCCTCATTTTTATTATCCTCTGTAGAGGTAATCAAGAATCGTTCATTAATTTGTAAATTTGAAGAGGAAAGAGTAAACAGAAGGAGAAAATAAATAATTTTGTTGTTCATTGAAAATTAAAGTTTTTTTTTTAAATTTTTAAAATAAATATTTACTTTTGAGCCCTATAATAAATAAATTTTCTTTTATACATGCCCTTTTCTTGACATTAAGAAATTATTTTTTCTCATTTGATAGACTGTCCTTTGATTAAATTTTTATTTTATTACCAAATTAATTTGTCTATATTGGGAAATAATGCCCTTTATCTAAGATTTTGTTTAATTTTCTCACTAAACTTTTGTCGCTCTAACAGTAAACGGCTTAATTCGTTTCTTACGATGGCATTTGTGTTGATCAGAAAGTCTCAGAACCAAAAATTTTCTTAGGCGCATAAACAAAAATTAGAATTTCCTCATCAATCGCATGTAAATTAGAACCCGGCACGGGACGGGACCTCGTACGGGATTTTACGGGATCCCGTCCCGAATCCCGGGTTTTTAGCGACAAACGGGATCCCGGGAATGTAAATACATTAAATAATCAAATATTTGAAAGCATAGGATTTGAATATTACCAAATATTTTTGCACTTTTTGTTTACAAATTATGTAATTTTGGACTCTAGTTTAGGACTTCCGCCCCATGATTAAGCATCCCATGAGCTTAATTTTTGTTTTGATTTAATTATTTTTAACTTACTGTAATTTCAAACTTCTATCGCTTTTTACCCCGTTTCTTAATATACCTATTCAAATAATCCCTTCGTTCAACCTTCAAATTTTTCTCTTTTGATCATGAATATATGATTTAAGAAATAAATATGAGAATAAAAGCTTCAATTTATTTGTGTTTTGAGTGTAAATTATTTCGATCCTTCTTACAACCAGCCTACAAACCTCAACAGCAAAACTTGATGCAAATGCAGCAGAATCACTTTTGATGTTACTAAAGCTAGGAAAGCTGTGCAGATCGAGTTAATTTGATTGTTAATGAGAAAGAATAATTTATTATTTTTTGTTTAATAAATACATAATGAAATTTAAAACTAGCAAGTAAAAAATGGATCAAATAAAAAGTAAATATCGGTACAATATTAGATGTAATTCCCGTCAAAAATTAAATTTATTTTTATGAATTTTTAATTTAAATAAAAAAGTTGATAAGGTTATTTATATTATTTTAAGTCTAATTAATGGTTAATAAAAAGTATAATTATTTTTTAAGTTTTTATTTTATTTTTGATAATGACATAATACTAATTTATATGTATTGCTACATTAAAGTAAAATATGCAAAATAATAAATTCTATAGAATTATTAGTAAATTTTTTATTATTTTATAAATATTAATTTTGCATTACAGTCAGAGCTGCTTCAAAACAGAAAAATTTTCGAAGCTATGGTTAGTCAGAAAGTCACATAATTTCATTAGGAATGAACCTAAAATCAAACTGAAGCCTAACAATCACTGTATGGTTCGAACACTGAATGCTACCGCTATAATCAGAGAACCCTTATTATAAGATAGGATTTTTGGAATGTATTTAATTTAATCCGACTGTGTATTAGCTTGGAATTATGTCTAAAAACAAGTTTCATCACGCTGTTTTTGATTTGTTTGCATCTGTCTCGGATTTTGAACTGAAATAGGGTCAGCACTTTGCCTTCCAGTGTGGTTGCTGTTTGATTTGGGCATGTGCTCACAAAATATCCTAAAAATTAAAAAAAATTTACGATTAATTTTTAATTTTATAAGGTTACTTTTTTGTTATAAATTTAACATTAAACCCAGCAAGTAATCCATTTATTGTCTCTTTTAAGCTTGTATTATTATTGTTACCTCCACTCCTTAAAATTTTCTTAAAAAATTCAAAAATTCTTTAAAAACTTACACATTTTTCTGTTCATTTTGGAATATTCTGTCATTACTTTCAAAAATATTTTTCTTCTCATATTTTGACGCATTTTGAGGCGGGACACTTTCAATGTAAAGAAATAGATGTTCAAGCTTATTTGACTTTAGATTTTTAATGAGTAAATATACAGCAATAATTATTGGAATTATATGAATTGTTATAACAACAGTTAACTAAATTTATTTTAAATTAATTTAAAATTTCTTATTTAAATAGATTAGATTTTATAATGATGGCGTAAGATAGTTTATTATGCTTTAAAGATCCCTCATTAAAAAGTATTCTAGCTTTTAATTTACAATTTATTCACTCTTTCAGCTTTGGAGTGTTCATATGCTGCAACCTAAGATATCCTAATTAGAGCTCAGATCGAGTTGAAGCAACATCGTTAAAATATCTTGATCATTAAATATCGAGATTTAGAGATAACGTTTGTGAAACTTGATTTATCAAGTCCTAACCACAATGTCTACTTTGTAACAGATAAAGTCACCAAATCTTATACTAGTATTATAGGACTCACTAGCGGGTTTAATTTTAAGTTGTGTTTTTTAAAATTTAATTTCATAACAATTAAATACCGAGGATTTGCTAAGTACTGTATCATGAATTTGACCGGAACAGGGTGGTTTCTGGTAAATAAAGATAATTTATAAATAATAATTAAATAATTTCACCACAATATCATCATCATTAAAAAATTCACATTCAAAATAATCTTCAATAGGGAGACGACCATTACGATTTAATTCCAATAACTGATTTAATAATTTTGCTAATAAGAAGCGAATAGTATAGATAGATTCTGTAATGCTTGTCTAGAAAATTTGGAAAAAAATTTTTAAATTGATGAATTTTAATAACTATAATTTTTGGTCAGAATCTGTATCGCTGTCACCCTTTTTTTATTATTTTCGCTATTGATACCTTCATTATCCTTATATTTATCTTGTTATAAAATTTTGTTCTTTCTCTGAGTTATTCCGTTAGTTCTAGGCAGATCGCACAATTGACATGCATAAACTATGCGGGTCAAAAAAATTGTAAAGGACACCATTCTTATTGTAAAGGAAATAATCCAGAAATTTATGAATGTGCTAAGCTTATTTTTCAGAAAGTACTGACACAGGAAATATACGTTTCGGCCTGTTAGTACTTAAAATCAGTTTGAATTTAGTTACAGCACATTTTTCTCACTATTAATACTTATTAAGTCAATCCTCAATATAATACCCATAGATTAACTTATTATTTAAATTTTTCTTGGCCCTTTTGAATTCATTTTATCGTTATTCAACTTTAAGATTAAACTTTTAAAATATCTCACATGAATTGTTAATGCTTGTGTTATTGAAAGGATTAATGCCAAAGCTGGGCATAGCTTAAAATAAAAATAATTTTTGATCCTATAAATAATTTACCAGATAAATATATTGTATTCTTGTTGGAAATCTCCTATTTTTATCTTTAATTATCCAAGCAAACATACACAAATTAATAGCAGGGAAAATTAGTTCTATAACTTCCGCTATAAATAAATTCCAGAGTTGATCATGGTACTGAAAATTTGAGAAAATTGTCAATTAAAGGGGGAATTTGATTATAGATAAATTTAATTGTTGAGGAAGATTCGGGAAACATTTACAAGCAACCGAATATCGTTTATGACGATAAGGGTTAATCTCAAGATCGACAAGGGACTGAACGCCCTTATATAATACTTTGAACAAACATTATCAATTTGATTTAATCTTTCAGCATTAACACCATCTAATCTAAATTTAGAAGTTGAATTTGGAAGTGTAATATTCATAGCATCAGTTTCTAACATATATTCATATAATAAATTATTAAGCTGTCCAAAATTATAAGCAAAAGTTGCAAATATTATTGTGTTAGCTATTTGGCAGATAAAAATAGCTGATGATACTAAGGCTGGTAAATGATAACTCCATTGAATTATCTGTAAATTATGATCGTTTATTTAAAGAAAGTTATTTCGAAGTCAAAAATTTAAGAGGTTCACTTTGAATTTCAAATTCAAAAGGAAATTTTGTCTTAAGAATTCCAAACCAAAATTCCCGGAAATCATTTTTATTAAATATTCTCTCTCTCAATTATAATTCCATACCTTTTCATTAACGCGCTGATCTGCTATCTCCCTGAAAGATTTTAGATGATATTCTAATTGTTCACGTTTTTGTGCTGATGTTGCCATTTTTAATTTAAAAGTTTTGTTGTTTTCTCAATTTGTAATATTGAAATTATTTATTTTTAAACATTTAGTTTATTTCTTTCATTGAAATTTTCAAAATTAATAAAATTCAAAACTCATATGTATGTATATAATCCAAAATTTTTAAACTTATACATATTTATTTTTCAATCTTCCTTCCAAACTTAATTTAAAACTTTAATTTAAAGTTTTTTTAATAAATTAATGAATATCCTTAATTAATATCTATGTTAAATATTGAAAAATTTTCTAGAACATAACTTACAGTTGTGGATAAAAGGATAAGTAACCCTATCACGATTAAGTATTGAAATTTTTTAATGTTTTATTTATTTTTTAGAAAAACAGTCAAAAATTTATTTTTGTTGTGTTCACTAATATTTAACTGTCTCTAACAATATTTTACTCAATTTATTGAAAAACGGGACGATTATTTTTAAAAAAAAAAAAATAGAAAATAAAGTAATCCTAATCTCCCTACCTAATCTAAAAATTGACAAAAAATATACAAACAATTCTTCCCTAGCAAACAAAGCACCTGTCTTTTTAAAAAAAATTGAAGAGATATGCGCACAGGAATGAATCAAAAAATAGTTGAACAGAGTGGCTGGGCGCGATAAATAGAAAAATTTAAATGAAAATGACTAAGATAAATGATAATAATATTAACAGATATTTGAGAATTATTTGGCAGAATATGACAGTCTTTTTTTTTTAATTTAATTTCGGCACATCCCTAGATAATCTTTGAAATTTTATGATTAAAAAATTACAATTTTTTATTTAGTTTTATAAAATCACTCTATATTTTTGAGGGTTATAAGAGCGCGCGCCCTAAAGAACTGCGCCTAGAATCCATTTAAAAAAGAAAAATAAATAGAAATAAATTTAGAGTGCGCAATAATAATAGTTAAGGATTTTTGATAAAAGAATTATTTTTGTATTTGTTCTTAATTTTAGAGAAATTGAAAAAATGATTGGATGGAAGAATTATTACTTATTTTGTTAACAAATCAATAGATTAATAAATATAAATATATAATCTAGATAAAGATAAGAAATTTTATAAAATTGAAATTGTATAAATAAAAACCTTAAAAATAAATAAATTAATAAATTAATAAAAATTAAATAAATGAGAAAAAATTTTTTATTTTATTTTGCCAGCATTTACACAATTAGATCCCTGAGTTGACGAGTTTGTAAATTATATTAACTTCGTAAATGGATCTCCATAGGGAATATGAAGGTGCCAAGTGCAATGCTACTAAATCCAAATTAATTCGGTAAATTTCAAAATTTAATGATTAAAAAAATTTTTTATACTAAAATATTTTGAAGTTATAATAATATACTACATATTTTATCAATATAAACTTCAGACATGACGTCATATTTGCACTTGAGAATAAAAAATCTGTCCTCTAGTGGCCATATAAACTACAGATATAAAATAAAAGCAAAATGAAATTCTGGAAGTTTTAAACAAACTTAATAATTAGGGACCGGATTTTTATTGAAATAAATTAGCAAAATATGACCATAAAATAGTGACAAAAAATGCCGAATAAGCTAAATATTGAAATAAATTATCGTTTATTCACTAGTAAAATCCAAAAAAAAGTTGAAATTTAACAAATAAATTTAATCACATTTTTAAATTGCACATTAGCTTTATACTTCGACGATTGAGTATACTTTTCCTCTCAAGGACATTTTGTAATGTTACATTTCATTGGATCAAAGCTGCAAAAAAATTTCCGTTTCGTTTGAAATTACATGTGATTTGAAGGGATATAGGAGATTTAGGGAGGATATCAGTGAAGTTACAGGGATATCCGGTAATTAAGAGCGATATCAAGGAATTCGGGAGATATAAGGGGAACTGATAAGATATGAGAGGTTTGTGAATTACATTTATGACCTACATTTCGTTTCAGCTTTTCGGTTTTGTTTCGGATATCCAAAGTTCTAAGCAACATATTTTCGGTTCTAAACCTTCCATTATTTCGGTTATATGTACCACAAACATTGCACAAATATTGTTCTTTTAGGTATTTATACCATTGAAATGGTTGTGTAGCACCACAATTGAAACAACTTCGCTTGTTTTCTTCAATAATTTCACCTATAATTTTAAAAATGGAGGATTGAGAAATAAAAGTGTTAATTATGATTAATTAAAATATAATCTAAATTTGCTATGAGAAATCAAATATAGCCAACACCCCTCAAAATACCCCCCCCCCCCCCAATTTTAAATATTAGAAAAATAAATGCATCTCAATTTAATTAAAATATTTAACTCCTTAAACATTCAGAAAACAAAAGTAAAAAAACTTTTTACTTATTTTATTGCCAATGTAAAGAATTCTGCTTTTTTCTTTCAAATATTCAACTTTTTGTTTTTCTAACAATTCAATTTTATATCCAATTAAATTAATTTCCGTCCAATAACTTGACAAAAGTTTCTTTTTGTAATTTTCAATGTTTTCTAGTAACATTTCTTTTTTATTTATTTTAATATTTCCCAAACTTTCATCCAATATGGAGGTTTCATAATAACTTTTGTTTTTAATAAAATTATTATTTATCAGTGCCTAAAATTTATAATCAAATGGATATGCAGTTATAATAGTTAAAATTAAAGTTCAGAAGTTTTTCGGATTTTTAAATTTTTTTCTATCCGGACCGTATTTTTCGGGTAAAATCCGAAAATCCGGTTTTAATCAAAATAATCAGAATCCTGACTACCGGATCGGAAAATCCGGATCTGTGTTCTAATCTAAAAATAATACACCTGTTTTCCCAATTCAGA